GCACTGAAGACTGAAGCAAAGAAGGCATTCAGTAGCTCTGCCTTCTCCGCATCCTCCGTCACCAGGACACCCGCCTCATTCAGCAGCGGCCCCACATTGTCCCTAGCCTTCCTTTTGCTGCTGATGTAGTTGAAGAAGCCCTTCTTGTTGTTTTTGACATCCCTTGCCAGCTTCAATTCCAGGTGGGCCTTGGCCTTCCTTGTTGCATCCCTGCAGGCTCTCACCACGTTCCTGTACTCTTCCCAAGTGGCCTGTCCCTTTTTCCACATTCCATGGACCTTTCTGTTTCACCTGAGCTCCGCTAAAAGCTCCTTGTTCAACCATGCAGGCTCCTGCCTCCTTTGCTAGATTTCTTGCTCAGGGGGAGGCACTGCTCCTGAGCATGGAGGAAGTGAAGTTTAAACAGCGAGTAGCACTCTTCGACCCCTCTGCGTTCCAGAGCCCTGGCCCACGGGATTCCTCCCAGTAGCTCCCTGAAGAGGCCAAAGTTAGCCCTCCTGAGATCCAAGGTTTTGATCCTGCTTATCGCCCTGCTTCCTCCATGCAGGATCCTGAACTCCACCATTTCATGGTCAATGGAGCTGAGTGTACCTCCAACCTTCACATCCTCAACCAGTCCCTCCTTGTTTGTTAGTACAAGGTCCAGCAGCGCGCCTTTCCTTGTTGGTTCCTCCACCACTTGCATCAGAAAGTTATCATTGATGCTCTGTAGGAACCTCCTGGATTGCGCCTGCCTAGCTGTAGGGTCTTCCCAGCTGATGTCAGGGTGGCTGAACACCCCCATGAGAACCAGGGCCTGTGACTGTGAGGCTGCTTGCAGCTGCCTGTAGAAGGCCTCATCAGCTTCCTCCTCCTGGTCAGGTGAACTGTAGTACACACCCACAATAACATCACCATATGAGGCTGTCCCTTAATTCTAACCCATAAGCTCTCAACTCCTCCTTCATCCACCTCCAGGCCAAGCTCAATGCATTCCAGTTGCTCCTTCACATACAGAGCAAATCCACCACCTCAACTTGTTGGCCTGTCTTTCCTAAGGAGTCTGTAGCCATCCATGACAGCATGCCAGTCATGTGAGTTGTCCCACCACGTTTCTGTGATGGTGACCAAGTCGTAGCCGTCCTGCTGTATAATGGCTTCCAGCTCCTCCTGTTTATTGCCCATGCTACGTGCGTTGGTATAGACCGTGGTATTATCCAGGGTAATCCAGTTTTTTATTAATCCTTGAAAGGTCAAATTGTATCAGGACTTCTGAGCACCCAGTGAAGTAAAAATAGTAGTATTTATAAAAATAGCATCCATTCAATTTAGATAAATCCTTATAAATACAAGAAAGAAATCAGTAATTCTGAAAAAAAAAAAATCAATTCAGAGCATACGTTCCTGAAGCACCAGCATAATATCCTAATATTAAGGACTTCAACTACAAAGTCTTCATAAACATACCTGCACAATTCTTCCTCATGCTGACCATAAACAAGTGTCAGCAGGTGTGCACGTGTGTTTTGTGCTGACACATGAAGTCTGCAGTCAGCTATGGAAGATCTCGCATTTGAATCTCAAATGGCAAGAAAACAGTTTTGTGCCAGCTTTTACTTCAGTGTTCAGCGCACTTGCGCATAGAAAGCACATGCTGCAGAGATCAGATCTAACCATAGGAAATTTTTAGTAACACATTTATCTGAGGTTAAGAGGCAAGACAGTATGGCTTCAAGTTACACTACATATAGTAAATGCTACAACTGTGTAAAGAGGTAACAAAACCTGCCTTCTTCTGCACCTGTATTAAGTGTAAACTTTCAGAACTTCAGGAAACATTACAAACCACAATTCTTTTCTGGTAAAGTAACCAGAGAAGATTTGAGGGTTTTAAAAAACAGTTTGAAAAATCTATCAAAAACTTAACAGGTTTAGAAACTTTAACATTTTTAGTGTTTGTAGCATTAGAACTTTGGTGTTCAGATCTAGCAAATCAGTATACTGCAAGTAAGAAGCCTCATCAAAACAAATGTTCTATAATGAAAAATATTAATTCCATTTTCAATGGCAGACTTGTAGGATCTGACATTCCACCGTGAATCACAGGAATCAGAGCACTGTCCAATTCATTCAGATAGTTCTGTGGAAGCAGGTGACCTCCAGATCCGGCTAAATACTCAACCTAGGAGGAAAACACAATAATGTTGATATTAACATTTTTTGTATTAACAGGACAGTGTAGAAGTGTAGCATCTTGGTAAAAGAGTATTTCAGCTAGCATGAAGTCACAAAATAACATCCAAACACTGGCAACTGGATGGGTTTTGAGGTCAGTCATAACTGATTAGACTTGTCATTGAGAAGCATGCAACATTCTCCCTGGGGTTTACATGGCCACACATCCTCTGCATCACAGACTGTTTCAGTCTGATGTCCAAGAGTGATCTGATTATATCGTAGTATCACAGTTACTATTAATTTCAAAATATACTACTGAAAACTAGATTGTCAGGACTGTATTTCCAGCTTCTCTCAAAAAAGAGAAGGAAGTGTAACGCAGAACACATTCAGAGGCAAAGAACTGAACAGTTCTACAGTTCTGTAATCTTTTGAGGGGCATCACATGCTGGACAGCCTTGCTTTCCCCCTCTTCCATCCTCAGCTGAGCATACCTGTCCTTTTCTGCTGTACAGATTTTGGTGCAAATAACCCTTACTGAACTACATTACGGAGCAAAAACCAGAAGACTAAACAATTCAAGAAAAGCACCAGAAAATTAGCTCTACGATTTTCTAAACTGACTCACCTTGGAGGCAGGTGAGTGCCAGAAACAGTTAGAATTAGGGAAGGACTGATAGCTTACTGCAAGTAGCCGTTACGGAATTTTGGCAGAATAAGGAAACTATTGCTTTCAAGAAAAACTAGTCATTAAGACAGCTTCTTCATGAAATTTCATTCTCAGTCTGGATCTGGGTAGGACAAAAAACTAAAAACATTCAGAAGGAGATCCAAGGTCTTTATAAAGCGATATTTCAGCTGAAATAGGGTGTCTCCAATAAAAGCTGAAAGATTACCATATCTGAGTCAATAGAAACTCTTAGGCCTATCTTATTCATCCCATTATTTTTCAAGGTTTTAAGGTGTGGGCAAAGAGCAGTACTGCAGGCAACAGCAATCTCTTTAGCAAACTGGTGAGGAGCAGGACTGAACAGTTCATGGTCCTTTAGAAAATAGTATACCTGAAATTACAAAAAGGGTAAGGACAGTCAGTAGCCTGGTTATATTACAAAGTAAAGAAAAGAGTAATTCAGTATATCTGTAACACAGAACAGAGCAAGATACAATAGTTGTTTGCTGGCAAAGTATTCTCGTATTTCATCTATTCAATCAAAATAGCTGGGAATATCTCTAGAGAGCTATCAAAGCCAACAAACTTTTAGACTTTTTCAGAGGAGAAAAAACTGAAGTACATAAACTTACCAAGGAGCTACAGAGAACATTCTGCCTACATGTATGGCTACACATCAAATAAGTCAGTTTCTTTAGTTGTATCACTTGGTATGACCACTTTACCACCTACGTATCCTAAAAAGTAGCAAAAAGGCTCAAGAACAATGTAATTTACTAACTTCAGTACACTTCATAACTTTTCCCTCTTCTTCAAAGTCTCTGCCTTGTGATACTTTTTCACTGTGAGTTCCTTCCATTGATTTTCCATCAATCGGGCTTAGAATTCTACGGAAGATAGCAGTATGGTTCATAATTAAAACAACATTTTATGATTTAGGTTGAATAACTTGCATGAAGTAACGTTCACTCATCCTTAAAGGCTATTTAAACTGCTTTACGAGATGTAATACAGGACTTGCACCACGAAAATACAGATGCTACAAAAAGAAACATCCCAAATATGAGAACAAACAACGCTTACTCAATAAAAACTTTATCTTACAAGTTTAAGCAGCTATAAACCATCACAGGTAAACCCACTGTTATCTAACTGGTCGGAGAAGAAAAAGACATTGGTCACAGAAAAAGGTACACCAAGTCAAGACTGTGGCCTGAGAAACAACTTAAGATGAGACAAGTTTTGAATCAGTGATGTAAAATTAAAAGTCTGAAGCTACACAAAGAAGTATTCAAATCACATCAAATACAGATGTCTTACATCTCATTTTGCTTTGTTGAATGCTGGCATTCCAAGTTGTGAATGGCCAAAGGCAGTTCTACCTCATTCCAAGCCCCGGCCAAACAAGCAAGCTTAAAAGCGACTAATTGCATCCTCACACAAACTGATTACCGATTTGACAGAAGTCTTTCGAAGCAAACTTAGGGTTCACACACTTCTCCTGACAACTTCCCAAACAGAGCAAACAGCATTAGTTTTGGTGAACTACAAGCAAAATTGTTCTGTTAGTGACATCTAGAGGACTGCAGGTAGTTTACCATTCTATGCCCTTTCAGGTTTTAATATCAAGTACTTTCTTTCAATCAAAATACCACAGATTAATTTCAAGAAATTAAAGGTGGGTATTTGAAAGCCAGGAACAAGAATTCTCAAAGATATTTTGCTTTGGTAATACATTTACCCTTTGTTTGTATTTTCTTCATTTTCTACCCAGCAAATATCTACATATTCTTTTATGTCTCCTGTATCCGTTTTGCCACAAGTTATTTTAAAGTCCTTCTTGTCTCTTAATGCCTGACGTAGGCTTTCCATCGTTTCTGGTGTTATTTGTACCATCAGTCCATCTAGAAGAAAACCAGTTAAAATTCCAACTTATCTACAGAAAGATTAGCACAGCTTTTTACTAGAATCTTGGCTTCAATTCTAGTGGGAACAATCTTCTCCTACAGCTTGTTAATAAACACATACCAGGTGGACTCCATCCCCCAGTTACAGCATTAAACATTACATGAAAGAGGAAGTAATGAAAGCTTTTCTTGTCAACAGAAATAAGACTAAAAGATCAATCTTAGACTAATTTTAGAAGTTTTATGCACTTATGTGTCAATATATGTATTTCATCAATACAGCAACAAAAATAGTTCCAGGTATAGGCAGCCGTAACGGAAAGATATGCACTGAGTAAACCAAAGAGTTAAAACTTAGTATGTTTTAAAACAAGTAGGTAAACCAGCATGTAAATTTTATACACCATTTGTTTGCAGTAGGTTTTTTACAAAGTTAAAAACCCTGAAAAGTATAGCTCACTGAGAAATAAAAATCTTGCACAGGACTGCTGCCTTTTTTTTTAGTTCTCTTAAGAACAAAACACTTAGGACAAAATTCTTACCTTCAACTATACTGGATTTAGCTAAAAATCCTGAAGATGTTTTTAAGGCTCCATTAAACACCACAAAACTTGCACCTGTAACTAGAGGAAGTAGGAACAAAGTGAGTACTACTTCAAATCACTCAAGTTTGTCATTACTAACATTTACCCTACATTCCCTTTTAAAAAAGGAGGCAAAAAAAGGTACTACCATACTGAAAGCGCTAACAGAAATCCCTTACTGACAGGATGGTATGATATATACCTCTCTAAAGAGAGAGGGTTTTTTAAAATCAGACCTTCGCAAAAGAGACCAGCTTTGTTAACCTATTTTCTGAGTGCATACAGTATCCTTTTAAGACTCAGGCAGCAAGCCAACACAGGCAAGGCAAAAAAACTCCACATGCAAAGAGGAGACATAGTTGAACAACCAGTGGTGTGCAGTTGTTTTTTTCTTTTAGAACAGACATGCCACTCAACTTTTAAATTTAATTTATTTACAGAAGGTACTCCTGACATTTAGTACTAAAAGCAACTGAAAGAAAAGATGACATAAGTGAATTTCCATGCTACAAACTTTTGCATAAATTTGTTAGTTACACACAGTGCTTCCAACAAAAACATGCTAAGTAACTAGGGTTAATGAAGCACAGAACAACAATCAAGTTGAAATCGAGATTGCAAGAGTAGAGCCCTATCAATCTGGAATTCCCCCCCAGGTAACGGGCCTTGTTGAAAAGCATGACTCATCAGCCCAGACACGCTGCCATGCTGCACAGGGTATTACTTTCAGAACCTAAATGGCACCCCTGCACTCTTCTCCACGCAGGTGGTTGTATCAGATTGCTAGGTGTTAGTACAGAGGTATTCACTGTTACCACATTTCCATACACTCACTTATTACGACTATTTGTTTATATATGTAAATGTATCACCCAATTCACACTAATTATTAATTTAGATTTTGAAATATGTGAAGAATCTAATGTCTGAAAATGTAAGCTGAATTAATAAAATTCTGGAAACACAGAGGAAGAAACATTTGTAAAAGGTACCTAGGTGACAATACAAACCAGCAACATTTTATTTTGCATTTAAATTACTTTGCTGCTTGAACACTGAACTTTTTGTCTCAACAACCTACTGGGAACATGTATCTTCCTTGCAGTCTAAAAGTGAACTCATATTTCTGCTCTAGAAATGCAGGTTTTCCTCCACAAGCCAAACTAGACAGCTTACCCTTCCTAGGATGTCCAGTAGCACTGATTGCTTGCGTGTGATAGAGGCCGTGCTTGTTCTGCATGCACACTAAGTGAGAATCAGCTTCAGTATTAAAACTTGCTCCAATACTAATCACGTGCTCATTAGAAGAATTTATGACCTTCATTACCTGTCAATACAAAATTTGTCATTAAACTGGCAGATCTCATTATGCAGTACTCCTTTTAAATATAAGGCATTAGAAAAATTCAGCTCTAAAAACAAATCCCAAGAATTATTCATTTAGTCAATTCCAGAGAATTTGAGCAACACAGTTCACCATGACTATCTGAAGGAACACAAAACATGTTGAAAAAATACTACTTCAGCAGAGCCGGATGAGTAAATCCAAGTACCTCTGGATAATGCAGAACAGAGTTGTAGCGAGCTGTTTGTTGATCTTAAGGCTAGAATATGCATTAAGCCTCACACAGTTAGCAAAAAACCCTGAACAGTAAAAGCTGAAGTAAACAAATCATAATAAAAACTACACTACCAAGGACGACTATCTCAGTTTTAGGCAAAACACCACCATCAAGAAATGTGTAAGAGACAATCCTTGCAAATACATGCTAAAAGATTTTGAAGAAACTGCTGATTTTTCAAGCATTGAATACTTATCTTAAAGCTCAGTTTTTCACTCATCAGTATCCACCTTCCAACATACCCAGGAAGAAGTAAACACGCGTTCAGGTAATTTCATGCCCTCACCCTCCGCCATCACATTTGTATCAGCTTAAAGTTCAAGAAGTCTACTGCACAGCAAATAGCAAAATAATATAGAGAGCTGCTATCAAGTGGAGAATTCACTTGCAGAACTGCCTGGGAACTGATTATAGAACAAAAACATTACAATCCTTAGAAAAAAGGGAGGAGAGGGTGGTTCTTAAAGAGCTCATGTTAAAGACATGACCAGTAAGTATCATGTGAAAAATAAAGACTAACGCAGTTTGGATTAGAAAGCTAATCAAGATGGTTTTACTCACCTCATTATACTTCCTTAGGGGTATTTTAATACAGCTTCTACCCATTTCCACATGAACAAACAGGTTGTCTATGGTATGCAAAGTATACTGATAATTTCTAAGGTCCTATATCAGACAAAGTTTTTATGTTAGCAGACAAGTAAGTATAACTTCCTTAACTTTTGTAATAATTAATATAAAGTACCTTACATATCTCTTCAAGACTTCAGAGAGTAAGGACATTCAGGGTTGCTAAAGACTTAGTGGTAACTTTTTTCCTACTGTGATGTGTGTGAAGGGTACTGTAGTGAATATACTAAAAAATCTACAGTACTGACAAGGTAGCTCTAACTATTTACCAGTGGGTTGTTTAGACTACAGCTACTTTATGCACATTAGGATCTTACAGTGTTTTAGATAACAAAAATACTTCAGCACCCTCCCTCTCTGATAGAAAAGTCAAGCATGCAAGCCACCATCCAGAGCAGTTTGTTTCCAGGCTCACACCCTTTCCCCCACAGCTCTAACTTCTTGAGCCATGACTTCCATACTCCACTGTTTCTCATACCTTCCTCTGACAGAAGTTACCATCCATCATCTCAGCCATGTCTGCAAAATTTTCCTATTGTGTTTTGTTCCACAACAACAACACTAAGCGTAAAACAGTCTCACTTGCCTTTACTAACTCAGCTGAAGAAAGGTTAGAAAAGGCTTTTGTCACCAGTTGAGCCAGCTAATCAGTATCTTCCTCAATCAGCACAGCTGTAGCAAGAAGGGTATTTATGAACACTTCTCATTGCATTGGAAGTTTCAAATGAACTGGCATTGTTTTAGCAATATTAAGGACATACATCACAGATGCCATTTGCTTTCATCATTTACCACTACTTCAGTCACTTGTGTGGTACTAGATTTTGTATGACCTTCAACTTAAGAACTGCACTACGAGTAGTTAAAAATGTAACATCAAGACAATATTTTGCAGTCATCTTACAACGATTAAAACTCCTGCTGCATGAAAACACGTAGTCCTGCCAAGGAGCAGGCATTCCCACTGCCTGCTTCAAGCTGACACTACAAACACAGCTATGAAGGAGAATCAGACTAACTCTAATCCACCTGAAAATAAACACCATAGAAGCCCCCTTCATGAGCAGCACAATATCAAGATTTCTCAAAGTCTGAAGATGCAATTTCACACTGGTATCAGCACTTCATCCATCAGGCTGGCTCATGGAATTAAAATGTAAGATTCCTCCATTCAGAAAAAAAACCCACTATTTTTCAGATTGTGCAACTCCTCTGATTGGTTTCTTATGTAATGGCATGGACATCAACAGTGGCAGAAAGGAAAGAGGGGCCAAAAACTGTGGTTTCATCTCAGCTGTAATGGTCTCTGGACTCTTCAGACAGAATTTAGTGATCACCTAAATAATACATGCAATTCTCTCTACAATTTTACTGCACTTCTCATCACAGCACTAAGAGTCAGTTCTATCTAAGCATTACAAGAAGATTACTGGTCAGGAATGCATGCTTACTGAAGTTTAAACAGTGGAGTTAACAGAGGAAAAACTTCCTCAAGGAATGGCATAAATTCTAGACTTGACTTACTCTGATGATTTTGCCAAGTTCCTCTCGTAAGACAGGCAGACTGGTTACTCGTGGTAAGGTCACGTTTGTGCAACAGAGCAATTACCGTTACAGTTAGACCACAGCATCTGCATGTCAACTCTTCAGGTTCAAAAAATGTCAGATTTAAGACTAGAATTCTTGCATCACACCAATGCTTGGAAGAGAAAAATGCAACTGAACAATGATCGCCACCAGCTTCCACGTAAATGTCAACATTCTTCTCACTCATTTAGAGCCATTTCTTACTACCAGAATTGATGCATAACAATAAAAAATGAAAAAAACCAGCCTTCCTAACTCACATATAAATACTTTTTGGTAATAAAGTTTCAATTCAGATATGAAGAACAAAAACACTAGCCCTTTGTCAAAAATAACTCTGCTTTCAAGAATCAACAGTTTTGCAGATATTTTACACAATCGAAATTACAACAGGAAAGGAAGACAATAAAACATTTACTCACAACAAGCAGATTCATAATTGTGTGTCCTATCTCTCCAAAGAGTGGCTTCCGGTGCCTGAAACTTACTACAGGAGTTGGATATGCTAGGGTGGGAGAAAAAGAAGTCAGTCACATTTTACTTATCAGCAACTGTAAGACATGCTAATCTAAGTATTTATTTATATTTTCAACTATAGCCTATGTTTCTTAATCTTGTTATCTGACCAGGTGAATGAACTAGAGCCCCTGTCTGACTCTGTCACGGACTGTCCTTCAGCCCACTGCATGGTTTCCCCACCCACAGTTAAATCCTACTGCAATGGCATTGCATGGAGTCACTCTCCTAGCAGCAGTAATTCTGTGGCAGAGACTTGCTGCTGCTTTCAAGTGTTTTGTCAGCTATGTTTCTTGCAACAGGTGATCTCGACAGAAACATCCTGGGTTCAGCCTCTGGGTCACCAACTGCAGGAGGGGTTGCAAGGCTTATTAGTTGCTTGAATATCATACAGGTTAACATCTGCTTCTAAGTTAATGCTGTAATACAAAGTGAAGTACCACTTCTTATTGATAAGCAAAAATAGAGTGAATGAGGATGCTCATACATGCTTTAAAGTCCCACGGCTGCAATGGGAAACACACGCAGATGGCAATTACAGAAGGCAATGAGACACAGGAGACCGCACCATTAAGCCATTTGAAAACAAGTAGCATAGCAAAGTCAGGACCGTGAGGTCAAAGATAGAAAATTGGTTAAAAAAAAAGACAGGAAGTTTGGTGAGAGAAAGAAGAATGATGAAGCTACCACCCTCGTCAACACTCAGAAGCGTGGCCAGCAGAAATCTGCTGCTGACTCAAGAAATACAAAAACTAGTGAGTGATACGTATTTAGGTACTTGCAGCTTCTAGAATGATAGGCTTATTTATCAAAATGCACTCAGGTCAGGAAAGTTGTGTGTAATACATTTCTGAAATCCACTCCACTTAAGCAACTGCTGCATGCAGCACCTTATCTGAACTGCTCTCTAAGGGTCCTGTTCCCATAAGCAGCAATGCAACAGGAAACACAACAGTACCTGTATCACTAAATTAGCTGGCTGCATTATTCAAGCAAGTACACAAGCAACTCTAGAAGGCATTTAGGACAGTATTGACTTTCAGGTCTTCCTCTAGCTAGCTTTATCTGTCCAAGTCAATGTGAATCCACGTAAACACTTTCCTTTGGTGAGCCTGGAGAAGAGTCCATGTAAATCTTGTTGACAGAGCAGAAAGTGCTCAGATCGGCCTGCAACAGACTGTGGAAGGTGATTTCCACATGGAGGTTGTGTCACCGCACAACCTGTGGTGGTTCACATTTACATGCTTTCCACCCACCTCACTTTGAAAGAATGCCTCCTGCATTTTTACAGGCCTAGAGATCTCCTATGTATTAATCATAAACTTATAAGTATCTTTATCCACTCTGTGAAGCAGTCATATTTTGCAATATACTCAATTTCAGGACTTTAATTCAAAAAACCCAATCTGACAAGAGTTGAAAATTGGGCTTGTGAACTTCCCTTCAAACCTTTCTCTTATGACAAAGGTCAGACATTTTGATAGTGTACTATTGTTAAGTTTTGGTTTCTCAGCTTTCTCATCAGCCAAGGGGAGAAAAGACAATAATTAAGGGAGTCTAGCAGAACAATGTAAATTTGTAAGTGTCTCAACACGTGGCTTACCACGTATGAAACTGAAGTCTTACACAAGTGTAATATAAAACACTACAAAGATTATTTTAAATACTTTGTCTAAAAAACTTGTATTTTCTAAACGGAATTTTACATTTACACAGCTATTTAAAGTGTTAAAACTTACCCCCATATTCTGCTCCCAGTCTCAACATTAAACGGATTGGAAAAACTTTTGCCCAGGGTATTTCCAGTTTATGGATAAGAATACCACAAAGAAAGGGGTTATCTGGTAGAAAATGATCATCAAGTTCCTGAACAGTTGGTGAAACAAACAGGAATCCTCCATGCTCTTTGCTACCGAGGAAGTTTTCAGTAAAAGTAAGGTTTTCCATGTTTCTTATTAACTTTCCTGTAGAAAGAGGGACAGAGTCTTTCCACATCTGGAGAAGTAATACATTAGTGTCAAGAAAACTACTCTAACCAGTGTCTGCTACAGACTTGTAAGCCATACAGTGCATCTCACATCTGCCTGAAAGTCTGACAGACATCTAAACCCACACACTAAGTGCTCTGTATTTATTAACCAAATGAACCTGAATATGAAACTACATTTTTCCAAATACCAAACCTCTAAAACGTACAATGTTCTGGCACACACCTCTTGATGAACTTCGATTAACAGATCTCAAATATTTATATACATAAGAGTATTGTACTTATACAAATAAGGTTCCAGGTGTCCTAAACCATACTGAGGGATTTACACCCAGAATCTCCAACACACTATGACTAAATAACAGCAAAACCCCTGCAAACAGGATATTTACGGAAGTACATGAAATAAAAGCTTTATTTTTTTTTGTTCCTGTTGTTTATTTGGAACCCAAGGCTAACACTGCAAGGTTTTTCAAAAGAATCATTCAGTACCTACAAATATGTCAAAAAAAAATATGGATCAACTTCCAGCTTCAAAGATCAGCAAGAATAAAGTGAAAAGTTAGACTTTAAAATTACATACCTTTCACTGCATCCTTATAGATGTCAATAAATAATCTGAATATTTCACTAGGAAAAATCTCTTCATCTGGCAAACACTGCAAGAGAATAATAATTTCTGCCTGACCCAAACCATGTAGTCCATTTGTTGAGAAGTACCAGCACTTTTCTGAAGAATCTTTAATTAAAAACATAGATACAACAGTAATGATGGTCAGCAAAACATCAGAAAAAAAGCTGGACTTAATGGAAAAGAAAATGCGCGTTACTTACATGTTATTAGCTTGACATTTATAAGCAAGTTTGCATTTAGGATAAAAGTTAATGGATTAGGTTCCACACGAAGCAAGGTGATCTGTTGCCGAGATGGATGTTCTTCCACTAGAGGATCTAAATAAATTAACACCTGATTTAGTTCAACATTTCGGTCAACTACCTAAAACAAGAATTACAGATCATAGCACGTGAAAGACTGTCCCATCCTCCTAAGAGGACGGTAATCATTCTCAGACTTAGAATAGCTACAGATTAAACAATTAATGGCTTACCGTACGATTCAAGGAACATATACAAATAAAGCAGTAACTTGTAACAAAGGTGCAAAGTAGGGCTACCATTCATTTCGTAATTACTGACGAATTGTATATGCTGTCTCCTCACCCATATACTGGTACTGTTAGTTAACGTCAGTGAGCACATTCACTGTAATGCATTTAAGTGATGAAGTACTCATAACATACTGATCTTGTTAATAACACATGCTCAGTTATCCAACACTCCAATGTGCAGCAAATAAATGAGATTAGCATCATATTAAAATATAAGTCTATACACATAAGCTCATATTCAGAAATCTTGCACCTAATGATTAAATATTAACATTGTTCTCAAATTTTACCTTTTCCTTTTTCACCCATTGTAAGCAAAACTGGAGGCAGTTTATCACTATCAGGAACAAGGCTGATCTCTTTATGAACACAGTTTTCAACACCACATAGCGCTCTGTAACTTGAAGGACTAACAGGCATATCACTTGTAGTCCGACGAACTGAACTGGAATTAGTCTTCTCAGCTTCTGCAGCAGGAGAACACTCTTTAATTTCTAGAGTTACAGGTTTATAACTATATATCATCTCACTCTGGCCTGGAAGAGCCTGCTGTGCATCATCTGAAGAAACAGAAAGACAGAATTCCTCCATTCTTGTAATGATATCCATTTCTTCCTTAGGTTTTGAATGTACATCAGTTAACAAGCCAGCATCTTCTGGGTTTGCAGCCTACAAAGAAGGAAAAAGTATCCACGCTCTTGTCTCACAACAAGCTAAAATTTCATTACTAGCATTCTAGAAGCAAAAAGACAAATCAAGCACAAATACTGAGAATGCATTTCCTCTAAACAAGACCAACACCAAATCTCTCCTGGATCTTGCCTTTTTTTTTTGTCTTTACAAGTTACATTAGTCTCTATTTTAGGTGAAGACACATCATTAATTTGTTCTGTAACACAAAACTTGCGTCAGAGCGTGGCACATTAGTCGTTCTAGCATACAACAGTCAGATGTAACACAATCAACAATAAACCAAGTATCCCTCCAGAAATCTGTTTAGCATTACCATTTCCCCACTTAGCCATATTGAACATTGTCACCGTTGCAATTCGCCATCATTAGGATCCGCAATTCAGTCCTGCAAGAGTATTTCTATTTCTACACTATGCACTAACAGCTGAGTCTAGCATTTTAGTCTGATGCATTTCTAGTTTGGAGCCAAACTCATGCTGCTCCCCCAGCAAAATGAATATGAGAAGCTATGAGCAGAGGCACATTAGGATAGGAGTTGTCATGAAAAAACCCAAATCAAGAGGTGTGCTATCATCTTTCCAGTATGTTAGACTTGCATACTATCTCAGTAGGAAGACTTTGCACTGCAACAAGAAAAAACAATTCCATGCTTTCCCTGTAATAGTTCTCTTAGTATGCCATCAGCTTCCAGCAAATCCTGTTTAGAGAATACACGTCAGAAAAATTAAAAAAAGACACCAAACCCCAAAATAACAACCCACAAACACACAGACAAAAACATGATTAGATCTGTCTCTAACAGACTTCTTTCCCACGAATTTGATGCTGGTGCTTCATATCACTTTATACTTTTAATCCTCACAGCATCCTGTGGCAGCACGTTCAGGATTACGTGTTACCTAGTAAATTACGTCCTTTGCTTTAGAGCCGCATCATGGTGGCTTTGTTTGAGCTTCTGAGGTGCACACAAGAACCATCAACTAATTGTTTCCTACTCATTTTGTCCATGCTGCTTTTCATTTCAGACATTGCTCATCTGCTGCAAACGAAAATATCCTACGCTTTCCCCAAAATGGAAGACAGGCTACACCTTTTGATAACCTCAACTTCAATGGAGTCCTATCTTGTTCAAATGAAGTCACATTTACTATTACCTACTCTTTATGAATTAAGGCTGATTTACATGATATACACCTGGTAAGTGTACAGATCCTCCATACACACAGAATGATGATCTGGTCTGTGGAAAACCATATAATTTGAGACAGAACAGCACTGTCTCATGACCCTGAAGGATCAGCACATCCTGTGCCTCCTTTCTCTGTTCTCAGGAGATAGGCTGTGTTCACACATCCACCTGCAAAAGATCCTGGAAAACAGCAACTGTGAACTGGCATTCGCAAAGCCGCGAATCCAAAGCTGACTGGCTCTAGTAACTACTGTATTAGTATATAAGGTATTCACTTGAGCAATAAAAGGATTCTGATCGAGCACAACATTGGGGTCCATAAAGTCATTCACCACACTGGTCTGTTCATCAGCTTTACGAATTTGTTTTAAAAACTCTTGAACACTCTTAGAATTTGAATTTATGTTATAACTCGAGACAGTGCTTCAGAGCTGTTTTATTTTAACAAGGCTCCAGCTGAAGAATCTCTCAAAATCCTTCCACAGGAAACTTCTACCACTTCCTTTGACTTTTCTTGTCAAGTGCAACTAGTTCAACACCATGAGTATGAGCTGCTATAAACAAGCCAACCCCCTTTCTCAGTTCAATACCAGTTCATATTAGAAGTAATATGTAGATTTTGCTGCACCCTTAATATAGTATTCTAGGGCATTAAGCACCTCTGGTTAGTCTAATCCAACAGGCAAACTGTAGCAAGCCACCCGACAAAAAAACCACAAGTTTCTACTATAGGCATGTTGTTAATGACAGGTTTCAGAACTATGGCTGAGTCTACCTTCATAAAAGTAGTTAATCAAACACTGTGTAGAAAAAACCTTGGTTTGGAAGATTTCCTGCCATAGCTTTTTTAAAGCTCACATACACTTCAAACGAAACATGGTTTCCTTTGAAGTATGGTCTACATTTTCAGTTCAAGAACTTTACAGTCACCTCCCAAAAAAATAATCAAGTACTGGCTCAGATTCCAAAAGCTGTGAAGCAAAAGTCCTGTTAGGGTATGTAAGTGGCTCCATCAATAGCAGCAAAGGTATTTCAAGAGGTAATTCATGCACCTACACACACTTCTTAATTCATACCATATGCATCTCTGGCAAGTCAGACTTTACTGGACTTAAGTCCTGTGACAATCTCTTTGCTCCAGATGAAAGTTTTGTTGTGTCTGCCACTTCACCATTCGGCAAAATCCCATCTGCAAACCAAACTCTCCTCTGTTCTTTGGGGCACAGCCCTAGGACAAGTTAAGAAAACAACACTGACTTAATATTACTGTTCTAATATTATTGTTCTAATAGCTGAAAGGGATAAAAATTAATCCCCTTTCCCCCCCAGATACACAGAGAATCTGTTTATTGGAACCAAGCACAGGTAAACAGCTTGCCATCAGCCAGTCTACAGTCAGGCAAATACATGCAAAAAAAACATTCTCATACTCGCAGAGGAAGCTGCCATGCTGTAGTTCAATTTATCAATTCCTGTACAAGGAACACTACTTCCTCAATCATTCCTCCATAGTAAGATAAGAAAGAACTGCGTATCACAACTAAAAGATGAAATACACTCTAAAAAAAAGTTAGCTTACCACTTCGTTTCAAAATTTTTCATTGAAGAAGGTCAGATGTTTAATAAAAGTGGAACAAAGACACTGCTTAGCCACTAATCATTTCTATTTATACAGAAAATAAACCCCTAGTGCTCCCCATCAAATTTTCCCTAAACAACTATTTTTTGTTTTTAGCCTAAGACTGGCAGTCACAACACAAGCCTGAGATCTCCCAATCTATACAAAAACGATGAAATTAACACCTACACAAAAAAATACAATATAAACAGAGAGGACTGAAAAAAGTAACACCCACATTTCATAAACAGAGACATAAGACACACTTGGTCAAGCTCATACATGGCATCAAAACTGGGAACTAGAAGTAACTAAGCAGCATCCCAGTTCACACAGTTTCCATTTCCCACACAAAAAAAAATCACTATACCAAGTATGTATCCATGATGCGATAAACAACTCTTTCCAAAGCAATCCTGAAAGTGTTACATATATTATACTATATTTAGCATACCTTCAATACCAGGCTGTTTAAGTACTGAGACAGGTAACAATGCAGAAGGTGAAGGAGAGCTAGCACCACCAGGTATATGGGCTTCCTCCAAAGGTGGAACAGCAGAAAAATACTCAGAGGAGATACTGGAACTGGGGACAGGACCAGTAGGACTCATCATCCTTTCAAATGCCTGCGCTAAAAAGATGTGGTTAATTTTTCTCCTGATGTTTCCATAAGCATCCATGCTCAGATTTCAGTTAAGAAAAGGTTACCTTACAATTCAATTACTGTAGTACTGTTCAGTGACTTGTAAAAATATCAGGACACAAAACTATGTGAAGTGGGCAAATAACATGCGAGAACAAGCAGGGGTATGGCCTTTAAACACACAGAAGGCTACTGTGGAAGGAGGATGTCTATTGCTGGACTCCTGCCACAGATGACCCAATAGCATAGCTTTTGTATTTGGTCCTACTGAGTTCAAACCTACTTTTTTATAAGACAAAAAATAACCAGTTTGCTACTCAAAATTTAAAGAACCGAAATTCAACTAAGAGATACAATTATTTTCTTCCTCCTTCCACGTCAGAAATAGGAAAACATACACCAATTAAAGCAGTGAAGCTCCCTAAAAACAGCAAAGGTCTAACAGATGCTGTACCTGTTCTTCAATGATTACTGCAATTACTCAAAAAACTTTTTACCTTTATTAATATCATCATAACAGCGAGTACAGACTCTTGCTTCCTTCTCCATGTATCGTAGTTTGCATTTTCGTTTGCAACAGCCACCACAAAAAACCTGAACCAGAAAAAGATTTAATTAAAAATTAGAGACAAAAATGCCAGTACTTCCTGACTTAAGTTTCAATTATTATTTCTTTCTTTTACTGAAATAGATTGCATTATACAAAGCATGCACACACATTTTTGGAAGTAGGGAAGAAAAGGAGTTTAGAAAACACTTCTGTTTGGGGAGAAGGGGAAGCACTAGACTAAAAACGCTTTTACTAAAAACGCTTTTACTGCGTCCAGCTCTGGAGCCCTCAGCACAGGACAGACCTGGAGCTGTGGGAGCGGGGCCAGAGGAGGCCCCAGCAATGATCCGAGGGCTGGAACCCCTCTGCTGTGAGGAAAGGCTGAGAGAGCTGGGGCTGTTCAGCCTGGAGAAGAGAAGGCTCCAAGGTTACCTTATTGCGACCTTTCAGTACTTAAAGTGAGCTTGTAAGATAGATGGGGAGAGACTTTCTACGAGGGCTTGTAGTGACAAAACAAGGGGCAACAGTTATAAACTGAAAGAGGGTAGATTTCAATTGGATAGAAGGAAGACATTTTTTACAATGGAAGAGGCTGCCTAGAGAAGCTGTGGATGGCCCAGCATTTGAAGTGTTCAGGGTCAAGTTGGACAGTGCTCTGAGCAGCCTGACCACCTGGTGAGAGATGTCCCTGCCCACAGCAGGAAGGTTGGACTAAACGATTTTTAAAAGGTCCCTTCCAACTCAAATCATTCTAAGCTGCTATGATTAAGAATCTCAAAACCTCCACAATTTGGGCCAAACTACAAACTCTCACCAGTCTGCTTTTGATCAGGGCTTCTTCCCATCCTGTTCCCCAGAACTGCATCACAACCTATCCATACCATAAGCTTTTGAAATTTGACAGGTATTTCTGTTGGACCAAAGCAATCCTTAGATGTCTACAAACCACCCACCCACCCACGGCCAGGAACACCCACATGACACAGCTAAGCACTCAGCTCTTGCCAATACTCTCTCAGATCCAGCTACAAAACAGAGCAGCACCTAAAGTTTCTTGCTGTGAGTGGATCTAATCACATGAGGCCAGGGGTCCACAAAATAGCTAAAACTGAATTATAAAAAAAAGTATTTTAACATCACAGCTGGAAACAGCTTGTACTCAACTGCACAGTAATTAGAAAACTCTTCCAAGAAATACACTTGTTTGATTCTAAATCCTCTGCAGCCTAATATTCAAGCCTGTATCTTAATCTCTCATGAAGAAACCTTCAGGAAAAAAAACCCACAATACATACACAAAGAACGGCAATAGGGAGGACACAAGTGATATTATACTAAAATTCTTATCTGGAGTGACGAAAAGAATTCCAGGCTGCACCACCTATTCCCAAATTCACTCCTACCTCTGTTGATTCTGTAAGTATTTTACATTAAACAGTGCTAAGAACAAGGACCGAACCCCAGAATTGGGTTAGATTTGCTTTACTGATTTAGCATTATCTCTGATGATAACTACTGCAATTTGCCACTAGGATTCAGGTAATGGTTATAATGATCTAGTCTCATACCAGCAAATAGCCATTCCTTATCCACTGACCTTGCAGCACTGTACGCTGCACCAAGTCTCTCCATAACAAATGTTATCATTTTGTCATGAAATTCCAAGCTGCTTCTTCTACCTCAGGGCCAACTATCTAAGCCAGAGCTCACTGCTCCCCAATCTATTTACTAATGCTGGCTCAGGAACTATGCTGGTTAAGCAGGCTTCTCAATTCTGTCAGAAAGAATAAGCATAGTTGCCTTCACGTTACCAGTTCCTTCAGCAAAGTATTTTACAAGCTCACTGAAGACTGTTTTGAAAGAATCAAATATGCTTTTCTACTCCAACAGGTTTTATCCTGCCTATTTTTAAGCAGAGATGGTGAAAAAAGAGCAATCTCTTTAGCCTGGACTACACCTGCACAATCCCATTCAAAATTTATGTCTTTAGTAAAGCTGTTTTCTGCAAGAGTTTCCACAAGTATCTGGTGCTTTTCTCACTTTTCCCTTCTGTTCTTTCAAGGGTGATTTACAAGTTTTCAGAGTCCCACCATTTTTAGCTATACGCAGAATCCAGAGTCAGTATTAGCCTTTACAAAAGGTATCTTTGGAAACCTTCGTCTTACAGAAGCCTTCTACCACTGACCAGAGTTAAGTAAGTGGAAGGAACACTGAAAGCCTTCTGCTAGTCTTAACTGTTTCCAGGAAAACAAAGTGGATTAAGTGGGGGAACAAAACCAAACTGCTAAGTTATTATAAGTGAACTCCTCTAAGGAGGTAAAGTCACTGTAAAAACAACAATATTCAATCAGTGCAACATGAACTAAAAAAACCCCTACCTATTCCACTTGCTTCTGCATTAGTGTCACAGGTAATTTACCTCAACTGAAAATTCACATGCTCAGTAGAGATGTTAAGTACGTAAATAATGAAGATTAATTGCTAATCAGTTACAATGCACCTGAGGATTTCAAACACTAAGCAGTACAATCCTCTTGGTATTCTCCTCTTGCACTTGATGCCCCTAGGACCCACACAGAGGAGGCACCTTAATCCTAATGTGCAGCAGACGAGCTGAAAGCAAACTGAGTGACAGGTAATGTAACAGCAGAAAGGAGATGCAGATGAGGCTGCTGAGCAAGGACATTCATTTTGTTTGAGCTATAAAGAACAACGGTACCACGATAAGAGACAAACACCTAAATAAAGAAACTGAGAAGTTATTTGGCCTCACAAGTCTTGCAGATGGGAGAAAAAGCAGGGACCATCAGCCTCACACTTCCCTCCAGCACAGAAGCCAGAATTCACAAGTGTTGCCATTGATAAAAGCTGGAGGACCACATGAAAGCTACACAGTTGTCTTCCAGAATAGTCTACAGAGGACATCTGTGAATTCCTACCAGTTTTTCCCATGTCCAAGTCATTGGAAACACAACAACCCACAACAGGTCCACAGCAAACTTTTTATTTGTTTAAGACAAAAAGTTACTATTAAAAAGACAACAAGTCTTAGCAGCCAGCAAGTCAAGCTGTTGCGCATTCAGAAAAGCTGTGACAGTTACAACTCCATAGCACTCTAGTATCCATAAAGTCTGAACAATCTGCACTGCCTTTCTCCCAGTGAATGTGTACTGTGGTGCTCCCTCTAACTACACTGTTGCTCTGCCCAAAACCCCTCTGTGAACACACAGGATTAAGCAACACTAATAGCTGATGGTTGTAAATACAACTGTGTAGCGAAGGGTGCTTTTATCCCTGTCTCCAGACAGGCTGCTAGAAATTTCACAGCAAATGTAAACAGGAACTTGAAGTCAGTCAGTCTTATGACTAAAACAAAACTGCTCTGAAGAACTGTGTTTCAAATGGTTACAAAACTTCAACAGCATATTCTGCCAAGTGACTAAGTTCAACGACTTCTAGGTTGTCACAACAAGTTCTTAGTTTTCTTGACATCCAAATTCAGACCTACATTTCAGTTCACACTTACTGCGGTTCTAGTAAACGCGTACTATGCTTTCAATATGCAGTTCTAGAAGAGGCACCCTGGGGAACAGTTACCAAGCCTCTCCATACGCCTTTCAACACTGGGAATGCAAAAAGTGAGTAAGTACTAACATTACTCTGTATTTCCTCATCCATAAAGCTTATAGAGGAACATTGAAAAATAAGTTCATTAGTACTGTCAGCATTTCCATTTATGCACAAGTGTAAGCCACAGTAGCTCACAAGGGAATTCGGGATTAAGAATAAGCTTTGACATTGTTTACTCACTGCAGAAGACCACAGGCAGAACAAAGTTCTACAGATTACTCACTTAGTTGGTAAGTACCAATCACCCCACGAAAGTAGCATACTTTCCCCCTGAGATGACTCCCCTGGAAACTTACACATCTCACACAGGAGGACAGGTTTAGGCTATAAATCTTTTGCACTGGTACTGCTGTTACAGCTCCTGAAAGAATGCAATCCTTTCACATTCATGGACAATGTTTTACAGCTCGTATAACCACTTATCTGAACTCTGATCATCACCATGACCTCAATTTTTCAAAGCTTAACTTAAAAGCTGAGTAAAACGCTGATTCATTCTGACTACCATGAAGCAGTCAGCTGTCCCATCTTCCCTGCTGTATTCAAAACACATTAGTCTAGCCCGTAATGGAAGATAAAGTAAGAACATTCTCTGTACTTCCCTTTAATTATTTTCACAAAAAAAGTTATACATTTCGTAATTAGTATCAGTCTTTTCCTACAGTCTTTAAGTTTCTACGGAGGAAAAATATAATTAATTTTTTCTAAAATAAAATGAGCCTAGAAAAATTCTGTCAATATCCTTTCCCTTCTCTGTTTTGGTTATCCCTAAAACAGAATACATTTGCTTTCAGTAACACTGGACCCCTCTCCAGTAAATTACCTTTCCACACGCACGACAGTGGTGTCGTCTTTTTGTGAACGTGAACTTGACTTGGCAGTTCATGCAGTTGGGTGCCTCTGAATCAGGAACCCACAACGGTTGTTTCCATGAGAGAGCTGCAGGTATTTTAAGTGATTCTACATTTTCAGATGTTTCGTTTCCTCCAGCTTCGGAGCTGCTTTCCCCAGAGTGCACAGGTTCAGAATTTTTACGAACATTTATGCTGGTGCCTGAGAGGGGAGCTTCTGGGGTAACAGAACTGGCTTCCTGGTTTTCTTTCTCAAGTACGTCTGTTCTGTTCAGTTTCTCTCTCAAGTACATCTGTCTCCGACCACCAGCTCCTTGGGAACAGCCAAGCAACTGCTTTGGTCTGGCACCTTCAGTACGAACATTAGAAACTAGTGCTTCACTACTGCTCTCAGTCAGCTCCTGAATATGAGACACACTCTCTTCTGTGGCAGATTCCCACTCACTTGCAGTAAGAGATACTTTGAGATTTCTATTAATGCTACTTATCTCCTCCATTTCTGCTTGCATATGTTCTTCACTGACCTCTGAGAAATCCACATTGTTCACATTTGTTAAACTTCCTTCTTCTGCAGCAGCTTCCGTTAAGTCACTATGATTGTCTGAAGACTTCAACACACTGGACTGAAGATTTTGTCCATACAAGAAATCATCAAGCTCAGCATCGCTTACCAGATCATCACTTTTAATAACATTTTCCTCTACAATAAAGTCAGCCATAACCTGGCTCATACTTTCATCATAATAAGAGTCTATAGCAACACCATACGGCTCAGTTTCGTATTCTAGAAAAGCAGAAGCAAAAACTTGGATTTGCTGAGAATCACTGCTATCAATCACATTCTCAGTATCATACTTCTCTCCATCTGTACTTTCTTCCACAACACTTTCACTGATTTCAGCTGTATATCCTTCCTGTTGATGCAAGTCAGTGTTTTCACAGGATTCCCTACCCGATAGATCAGTGTTAGATGTTCCAGCATGAACAGTTAAAATACCACTAGTAACTTCCATCATCTCATTTTGAGGTAGAGGATTAACTTCTTCCATTACAACTAATGAGCCACATACAGATGCAGGAAGTGGAAGACATGACAGCAAGGTCTGGACATCCTCAGCTGAAACACATGAAGCCGAAACTCTGTTTAGCATTTCATTGCTATTAAGTTCTTCACTAGCTACATCCTCTTCTGCGTTTTTCTTTTCCAGTTCTACTACAGCTCCTGTTTGACAGGAGGAGCCTGGTAAAACACTATTTCCAGGTAACGTTGCATGGCTCTCGTGCAACTGAGGCTTCTTTGGCAGACGTGAAGGCATGGATTCAGCACTAATCTCATCTTTTGAGTCTACCTTTTCTGCGGCATCTCTTCCATGCATCTCTTTACTTACTGTAGAGGATGTACTTTCATCTTGTGGTTCACAAGACAATTCTTCATACGCTTTCTCATCTTTGGGACTGTACATGTTGGAGTTCTGTGATGTTACAGGGACACCTGCAGTATTAAGGCGTGCTGCTTGTTCAAGTTGATCAAATACTTCACCGCACTTTACAGATTCTGTCCAGTGTTGATCATCACATGGATCTGAGATCTTTGCTGTGGCATAACTGTCTGATTTTAAAGCTAAATGATTAATCTCCTCTGTTTTAAGTTGTCCTGGATCTTGTAGCATTGAGTCCCCATCACTGTGATCTGTGCTTGCACCACCACTGCAACCAGCGGATGACACACAAATAGGAACACGTATGCAAGATACGCCAAAGCCAACCAAACCTTCACTGTACTGGAAGCCATCTGGCTGCAACTTTCGAGCATCTTCATGCGTAACCACTGAATGGATTACGTTACCTGTATCATTAACAAGATCACACACAGGTATACTACACCTTCCCAGGTTTGAAGCCTGAATTTCATTTAAGGAACCACTGTCCACAGTGGACAAAAGATCAGGTCCATCAACGCTCTTCTCATTTTGTGGCAAGTAACTTGGGAGCACTTCACTTGTTCCAGCGTGGCTAGCTACAGAGATTTCTGCTGATGAAGTACAACTGTTGGCATCCTCTTGCAGTTTTGGTGTTGGGTATACATGTTGTAAGCAGTCCAGAACTGAAGAAAGCGAATGGTGTTTTGAGTCATATGGATTCTGAGGTGTTCTGTAGCAGTCATATTCATCTATTTTAAGCAAAAAAGAGATCAAAAGCAAAGTTTATAAAACTCCTCTCTTTCCATATTGCACTTCCTCCAAATCCCATCTATTTATCAAAACAAGCTTTTGTTTAGCATATGTTACTTTCAAATTCCGTGCTAACAGTTATTTGACCAATATGACTAAGGTGGAGAAAAAGGCAACACGAGGCGACACAGTAACTAACCTGTATTCTGTTCAAATTCATCCAGTAGTTTGTCCAGGTCACAGACAGCAGCTTTAAAGTAACTGTCCATTCTAGTTACAGTTCTAGTGAAGCTTCAGCCTTCTTAAACCTACAGAGATACAGCATTTCGTTCACAGCATTTTGCAGTTTACAAAGTCAAAGCATTATTAAAAGACAACTTCTATGAAGTACTTTTTTCTTTTTAATAACACCTTCTTCTCTCTTCATGTAAACAAAATGTAAATACAAACAGTATTGCAGACTGTCAGCCTCTATGTACTCTGAGTATGCTCTACAGCATACTCAGTAGACTATGCACAATACGCATAAAAATTCACTAGATCCCCTAGATCAGGAAATTGAGGCTGCCTTATTAAAACCAAATGCATCTGAAAGCATACAGTATGACATTATAATGTCAGGAAGTTTAAAATCGGAAGGGATACTAGGATCTTCTAGTCTGACCCCCTATAAATTTTATACCATGCAGTTCACAGGCAAAAAACCAAAACAGGCCATCATTACCCTTGCGGCACAAGTGAATTGATTAAGTAGGCAATATCTACATAACCCCAGACTTTTCAGGCTTTAAACTGCATTAGGAAGTACAAACAGTATCCTTCTGTTGGCAGAAGTGTCAGCAAGAAAAAAGCCTCCTTTAGTGCCCAGACCTGACAACCAGTTCAACACTGAGCATGTGAACACAACATTTAAAGAAACATATTCTCTTAGTCCCCAAGCTATCCAACCAACCAATTTACTTTCAGCTATGATGAAATGTTTAAGGTAACACTAAGCAGGCTAAAATCGAAAATATATCAGGACTATAAAGCAGATAACCAGCTGAAGCACTGAAGTATGAGACCGTTATCTTAACACAGAGCTGCAATGCGTTCCTGCAGGTTGAGGTCAGTACTCCTCTCCCATGGCCAATGAGTTGCCTTTAAATCCTCCTCTTAAACTTTCCTCCAAGGCCATGGGTTTGTGTGGCAAGGTTTTGCTAGCAGGGGGGCTATAGGGGTGGCTTCTGTGAGAAGCTGCTGGAAGCTTCCTCCATGTCTGATAAAGCCAGTGCCAGCTGGCTCTAAGATGGACCCACTGATACCCAAGGTCAAGCCAATCAGCGATGGTGATCGCACCTCTGTGATAACATATTTAAGAAAGGGAAGAATGAAAACTTGGTAGTGAAACAGCTGGATAGAGAGAGAGGGGAGTGAGACAATGTGAGAGAAACAACTCTGCAAACAGCAAGGTCAGTGACCGGGAGCAGCAAGGAGGTGCCCAAAATGTCGGAGAGAGAGCTTTCCCCTGCAACTCAAGATGAAAGATCATGGTGAGGCAGGTTGTCCCCTGCAGTCTATGGAGGTCCAAGGTGGAGCATATATCCACCTGTAGCTCACGGAGCAGGTGGATGCCTGAAGGAAGCTGTGACCCCATGGGGAGCCTGCGCTGGAGCAGGCTCCTGCCAGGACCTGTGGACCCGTGGAGAGAGAACACCACGCTGGAGCAGGTCTGCTGGCAGGGCTTGTGACCCCGTGGGGGACCAACGCTGGAGCAGCCTGTTCCTGAAGGACTGCACCCCGTGGGAAGGACTCATGTTGGTGCATTTTGTGGAGAACTGTCTCCTGTGAGAGGGACCTCACGATGGAGCAGGGGCAGAGTGTGAGGAGTCCTCCCCCTGAGGAGGAAGGAGCAGCAGAGACAGCATGTGATGAACTGACCGTAACCCCCATTCCCCATCCCCCTGTGCTGCTCAGGGTGGAGGAGGTAGAGAAGCAGGAGTAAAGCTGAACCTATGAAGAAGCGAGGGGTGGGGGAAGGTGTTTTAAGATCTGGGTTTATTTCTCACTATCCTCGTCCGATTTGACTGGTGGTAAACTAAACTCCTCTCTTCTCCCCAAGTTCAGTCTATTTGGTCCGTGACCGCAATTGGCGAGTGATCTCTTCCTGTCCTTGTCTCGACCCTCAAGCCTTTCATCCTATTTCCTTTCCCCTGTCCAGCTGAGGAGGCGGAGTGATACAGCAGTTTTGGTTGGCACCTGGCATTTATCCAGATAAAACCAAAACAGCCAGGAAAAAAACAAACACACACACACAGAGCACGGTAATTCAGCTCATCATCTGTATTCTACTCAGAACACAAAAACCATTATCACATTAACTGTCTCTGAGACCCAAATAAAATCCTTCTAAAAAATGTATTTTTAGACACTTACCAACTCACAGAAAGTTATTTATTATTCACATTACCTATTGCAAAACACCCCATTTAATTTGTTTAATGAAGATTTCCAGCCACTCAACATTATGCCTTTCTGGTCACTCTGAAGTGCTTCCCAACTTCAGATTTTTTTCATGCCTGAACACCCATACTGGGCAACTACCTGTAACATATGATGAAGATGGTATTTACACTTCCCTTAAGTAAACTGAAGGTACTCGGATCCCTTTAGTACAACATCTGCAAACTAGACCTGTGGAGGTCTGTCTAATTTTCCTTCTACTTTTCTCAGTGCATTTAGTCTCTGCATTGGCTGAATTCACAGACCCTACCCCATCCAATGTACTTTGACCGTCTAGTCATGCCAACACGAGCAGTACTGAAGTGAGCTACTCTGTGGCAATCTCGGGAAGGATTCCGAACAGTTAATATTTAGGTCACATCAACACCTGGTCAAACATCCTTCTCTACCTTCTGAGGCTTCCAAGAGGCAAGCTTAAACAGAACAAAAGAATACAACAAAGGTTTACTTGTATTATTTGCCCAGTAAGATGAGGCTTGGTCTCTGTCAAACTCCTAACAGTGCACTTTAACTTGCATAAAGACAGTATCTTAAGAAACAGAAGCAACAGCTCTACTACATAAAAACTGTTAACTAAGGGAAACAAATACTGTGATCTGGATGACTCTGCAATAAGTGCAGGTGTGTCAGTGTATTTAGACACACTTTACAGACCACTTTTTACACCCTTCATAAATCACTTCTAATGTAATAGGCACATATTCCAGCTTTCAAAACCAACATTCCACTAGGGACGTCTCAACACATTCCTCTTTAAAAAAGACAATAACACAAATCTTCTAGGATAGAGAATGGCCAAGTAACAGCATGGACTGTTGGTTTGGTTTTTTTTCAAATACGGTCTCTCTAAAGGGAGGTAGTTAGTAGTTGTCAGTGGTGATAACTTATAAAATAAAACAGATAAGTTTATTATTACCATCTAACCAATTTAATGTCTGACGACAAGCTGCCTTCTGACATTTAAGAATCCCTGAAAAACACTCTCTGTAGTGTTAGTATGTACAGGCATTAGCAAATCTCCAGCTAGCCACAGCTAATCATCACTGCAGAATGCAGGCCTGCTTTTACATGGACCACACTAAAGCAACACAAGATCAGGTTTAGGGATACAGAAAACACACACGCACACACATAGGCACACAGGTCTTCACTCCAGAAAGCTGACCATAGTAGCCATCTTAATTTTAGGTTATCAGAAAACTTTTTGCTCACTGCAAAGTTACATTATTTCAAGGCCACCATTGTGTTTAGTCTGAGCAGCAAGCCATATCGAAGCTCTTATCCTCACAACAGGATTTAAGTAGTTTTTTCCAGCTTACCATCCAGCAAATACTGTAACTGAACAAAGCCTCCGACGGAAACACAACCATTAAGAACTATGTAAATCCACAGTGCTAGAGAAGTGAAGTGCTGCATCAAGCACCATACGGCTCTTCCCTCACCATAAGGGTATTTAATTTAGCAGCTTTCTCCTCCTCGTTCCCCTCCAATATTCCTGCGCCATAGGCTTGAAGCCCTACAGACAAAAAAAAATTTAAGCGTACACCTGCCCATGCAGTTCATCAGCAATCAACTTCACAGCGAAGTTCATTACAACTAAGCAAATGCTTTGTGAAAACCTTAAATATTGTCAAGTAAGAGCTAAAATGATTCTTGCTGAGCAAGACAACATACTATCCAACCCAAAAACTGCAGTTGCTGCTGCCACTGCAAATTTGCTAGCTGAATCAGGGGTTGAAGATAAAAGTTACAGAAGTTTTCAGCCACGTAAGGAAAAGCTTACATGGCACATCGCAAAAAACAAACTGCCTTGCTTAAAGAGCAACATTCTGTTAGTTTGACACAATTACTTCAGAATGACAAAACTATCAACACCAGACAACTCTGTCCCGACATCATCTTCAGCCTCTGAAGATTTTCTTTCATTCATCCACAGTAATTTGTTATTGCTTTTCTGAACACAAAATAGTGTCACTCACACCACCACACAAAGTCAACAATTACTGATTTTACTGATTTTCAGCAGTGCTCTAACACATCAGCAGTACCATCAGCAACAAGGCCCACAGCTGAAGCATCCACTTGCTCAACTGAACAAACGCATCTCTCACTTACAATTAATGGTTATGGCACTGCAGGCAGTATCAGCATTTATTACTCAGTGTTACAAAATGAGTCATTAGGGTATGATTATTACATCAGGTCTGAAAGATCATTCCTCGGTGGAAACCAGTGTTCCCTCAACATTCTCATCTTCACTGACTTGCATTATGAGTAACCAGATATTCATATTAGACAATCTCAGCAACACAGCACTACACACCAACAGCATCTAGTACTGGCAATCAGCTGGATCCTTTCCTGTGCTCTACTCATTTATCCAGAATGTACTAACTACCAGTTTGCTGCCACTCTAGCTTATATTTAAATACAGACCGAGAACTTTTCCCAGTTTATCCAGACACATCTTAAAACATTTAAGGCCTGTAAGCGCATGGTGTGCGTCCATTACACTCTGCATCCTGTATCAAAAATCATCACTAATATCACTAAATCTTTAGGGGCAACTAGTCCACCTAATCAACCTGATACGCAACACACAGCACGACCTGTTGTAAACGTACTACACAAGTAGCTGCTACACCGCGCCAGCAGCAAACTGCACGCTAAAAACTCACAGGGGTTTGTTCTCGTTTCACTACCGCCTTCCTTCTCCGCGGAATGCACTCGGTACTGCTCCACAGGCTGTAAAACCCTCCCCGCACCAAGCTTCTCCGGGTAACGGCAGCCCTGCCAGCTCCCATGAACGCAAGCTCTTCCTCCGTCCCGAACACGCTCCGCCGCCGAACACCTCCCTCAGCCCAGCCCC